GGAGACAAGTCTCTCTGTTTGTCTCTGAAGACAAATTCAACTGAATCCATCAGGTTTTTCTCAACTAAACAGCAGAATCTCTGCCAACCTCTGGTGAGTCCACTGCCCTACAGAGCTTGTTACAGTCTGTTATAGCACATACAGATAGAAGGAAGGAGCTAAATCCAACCAAACAATGAAAACACACCACAGAAACTAGTCCTGCTGAAAGCTAACTAGCCTAGCTTAGCTTCCCTTTGGGTTGTGTAAAGGACAGAGTACAGCGTCTGATTTCATCTGAGACGTTTGTTGTATTGCTTATAAAGGTATAACATTGTACTTTTACAACTTATATAACTGTTACACACTTTGGTAAGTATCCTTAAACCTCTCGTCTTCAGTGTTTCTGTAGTTCCTGCTGTCTGTCTCTGGGAGGCAGTACAGCTGATAATATTTACTGTGTTTCAACAACCGGTATTAACACAAAACCTGAGCTCTACTCAGACAGGAAAAGGTCACACTGAAGGTCTTACTGTCTAAATAAATCACAGAAAAATGTAAAAAAGTGTGTTGAGTTTAATATTAAATTTGGACCTAGTTTGAAAATATTTCCATTTTAATAAAATATAAGCAGTTTATTCATAAAGCACATTTCATAGACAATGGTATATTTGAGGTGCTGTACAGTTTATTTAAATACAAGACAGCTTAAAAATAAAACAAAAAAAGATAAAAATTAAGATGGAAAGATAAATATAAATCAACTAAAATAGTGTACACCGATCATCCGTAACATTGTGAGCACTGACAGGTGACGTGAATAACAATGAAAAGAACCAGACACAGGGTCATGGGCGGCCAAGGCTCATTGATGCAGGTGGGGAGTGAAGGCTGGCCCGTGTGGTCCGATCCAACAGACGAGCTACTGTAGCTCAAACTGCTGAAACAGTTAATGCTGGTTCTGATAGAAAGGGGTCAGAACACACAGTGCAGAGCAGCTATGATCGGTGTGTATATAGTTACTTTAAACCTCAAACCTTCACATATATATATTATTTAATGTGTGATGTGACAGTAATGGAGTAAATATTTTAGAATCACCATGTTATCACTTTTCTGAGCTTGGTGAACTCATACCACCACTGAACTGCACATCTACGCTGTTCTACACTGGCAGCAGGGTCCAGGACCTGACTGTGTAATGAGCAATCTCAGTAAATCAGACACTGAATACAAACAGATTGAAACTGCAAACTCATCAACAATCGCAGCTCATGTCTCATGTTGTGCGATTTTTTTAGTCAATAATCAATATGGCCCTCAATTGGTTTCAGTATAATAACAGAATTCAGGAAGAGACTCCTTATGTTGCAATAATCATAATTAATTAATTTTATTATAATCAAAAGAAATGTAATTACAGTTTTCTTTTCTTTGTATCCTCACAGTGTAGATATGTCTGCTGCCAGCTGTCTGCTGACTGAAGATCAGTTTCTGTGCTCCATCTGTCTGGATGTGTTCACTGATCCAGTCGCCATACCATGTGGACACAACTTCTGTAAAACCTGCATCACTGAACACTGGAATATTAATGTCCACTGTCAGTGTCCCAACTGTAAAAAGGTTTTCAACACAAGACCTGAGCTGCAGGTCAATACTTTCATCTCTGAGATGGCTGCTCAGTTCAGACAGTCAGCTCAACAGAAAGCCAGCAGCAGCAGCTCAGAGCAACAAGTTTCCAAACCAGGAGAAGTTCCCTGTGACGTCTGCACTGGAACCAAACTGAAGGCCCTGAAGTCCTGCCTGGTGTGTCTGGTCTCCTACTGTGAGACTCACCTGGAGCCTCATCTGACAGCTTCACGTCTGCAAAGACATCAGCTGATCGACCCTGTGGAGAACCTGGAAGACAGGATGTGTACGAAGCACGATAAACTGCTGGAGCTGTTCTGTAAGACTGACCAGATGTGTGTCTGCATGCTCTGCACTGTTCTAGACCACAAGACACATGATGTTGTTCCTCTGAAAGAAGAATATGAAGGAAAGAAGGCCGAGCTGGGGAAGACAGAGGCTGAAATTCAGCAGATGATCCAGAAGAGACGACTGAAGATTCAGGAGATCAAACGCTCAGTGGAGCTCAGTAAGGAAGGTGCAGACAGAGAGATAGCAGATGGTGTTCAGGTCTTCACCGCTCTGAAGGAGTCTGTTGAGAGAAGCCAGGCCGAGCTCATCGACACGATCAAAGAGAAGCAGAGAAAGACAGAGAAACAGGCTGAAGACTTCATCAAAGAGCTGGAACAGGAAATCTCTGAGCTGAAGAAGAGAAGCTCTGAGGTGGACCAGCTCTTACAGTCTGAAGACCACCTCCACCTCCTTCAAAGCTTCGTGTCCCTGACCGCTGCTCCACCCACCAAGGACTGGACAGAAGTCAGCGTCCGTCCACCTTCATATGAGGGGACTGTGGTGAGAGCTGTGAATCAGCTGGAGGAGACGCTCAGTAAACAGATGAAGAAGCTGATTGAAGTCGAGCTGAAGAGGGTCCAGCAGTATGCAGTGGATGTGACACTGGATCCTGATACAGCACAACCCAAACTCATCCTGTCTGATGATGGAAAACAAGTTTACTGTGGTGATGTAAAGAAGAATCTTCCAGACAATCCAGAGAGATTTGATTATTGTGTTAATGTCTTAGCAAAGCAGAGTTTCTCTTCAGGAAGATTTTATTACGAGGTTCAGGTTAAAGGGAAGACTGAATGGGATTTAGGAGTGGTCAGAGAGTCGATCAACAGGAAGGGACAAATCACACTGAGCCCTCAGGATGGTTACTGGACGATATGGTTGAGGAATGAAAATGAGTACCAAGCTCTTGCTGACCCTGCAGTCAGTCTCTCTCTGCAGTCTCAGCCTGAGAAGGTGGGGGTGTTTGTGGATTATGAGGAGGGTCTGGTCTCCTTTTATGATGTTGATGCTGCAGCTCTTATCTACTCCTTTACTGGCTGCTCCTTCACTGAGAAACTCTACCCATTCTTTTGTCCCAGTCTTAATTATGGTGGTAAAAACTCTGCCCCTCTGATCATCTCTCCTGTCAATCACACTGAGTAGAACAACCATTTGATTCTCTTCAGAAAGATTCACATCATTTAATGTAATAAATGTATATTTATTGGTGATGTATGGAATATATATATTTTTTCCTTTTATCATGTAAATGTATTGATATCATATTGTAGCCTAATTTATTCTAATAACTGCATTATCTGCCTTCAAAACTGTAAAATCATCAGAAAACAATGTACTCAGGAATAAGAAGCATTTACACATTTTTTAAATGTCTGAGTGACAAATTCAAACCTTTATATTGTCTGATCTTTTTTATATAAGAATACTTTATACTACATACTGACATAAATTACTGAAGAGCCTTTTTATAAATGAGACAAAAGTAAATTGCTTTAAAATAAAATAAAAACAAAAACAAAACTTTTTATTGTGTCTGATTCATTTATTTAGTTTTGGTCACATCTGAGACCGTTGGTAGTGTCAGATAATATTAATTTATGTTAATGTAGATTTTTACTTCATTGTCTCTGTGTAAATGTTTCATGTCTCTAATATAGTGGTTGCAGCTAAAGATTGATAATAAACTGAAAGTCTCCCTCGTCCCAATGTTTTAGGAGATTAAATGTTTTCTATTAATTTGATGGAACACGATTATTATTATTATTATTTGGCATCATTGCACGCCTTCCCAACATCAAGACTGCTGCAAATCACACACGACAGATGTAACAAAACAACGTAACAAGACGAAACAGACAACTGACAGATCCTATTTGAGGTTTTAACTCAAACTGTTGCTAAATTTCCTCCAGAGAAACTAGAGAGAACTTTTTCCTGTTATTACTATGAGAACATTTTAGAGCCTGTACTTTATTTTCTTTTACTTGTGTAAAGAAGTTGAATCACTACTTTTACTATTCTTTATATATATAGAAATGATCTAAACAAGGTTACAAAGTGCTGTGACAAAAGAAATAAGATAAAAACAAAGAAACAACAAAGTATAAACATAAGTAACCAAACAAAACACAGTTACAATACGAGAATAAAATAAAATAAAACTACAACATTATTAATAACAATAATAATATTAATAGCAATACTACTATTATTAATATAGTAATAATAATAATAACAACAATAATAATAATAATAGTATTAATAATAATAATAATAATAATAATAATAATGATAATAATAATAATAACAACAATAATAATAATAATAATAGTATTAATAATAATAATAATAATAATAATAATAATAATAAAATAATAATAATAATAATGCCAATAATACCAATACTACTATTATTATTATTATTAATAATAATAATAATGCCAATAATACCAATACTACTATTATTAATAATATTAATAATAATAATATTTACTATAATAAAATAATAATAATAATAATAATAATAATAATAATAATAATAATAACAATAATAATAATAATGGTAAAATACCAATAATACTAATAACAATAATAATAATAATGGTAATAATACCAATAATACTAATAACAATAACAATAATAATAATAATAATAATAATGATAATAATACCAATAATACTAATAACAATAATAACAATAATAAATATAATAAAAATAATAATAATAAAAATAATAATAATAAAATAATAATAATAATAATACTAATAACAATAACATAATAATAATAATAATAATAATAATAATAACAATAACAATAATAAATATAATAATAATAATAATAATAAAATAATAATAATAATAATAATAATAATAATAATAATAATAAATATAATAATAATAATAATAATAATAATAATAACAATAATAATAATAATGATAATAATAATAATAATAATAATAATAATAAAATAATAATAATAATAATAATAATAATAATAATAATAATAAAACATGTTTTTCAGCTTTCACAATCATTGACGTCACATAGATGCGACGTAAAGGCGTGTTTGTACTGGCCTGGTGCTGCGCCTGCGCACTGTGCTGAGTCCTTGGCTGCGCGGCCCGCTGTAGGTTATATAGGTTTACAGGCGACAGAGACAAAATGCAGAGCTGGACGCAGTTATACCGCTCTCTGGCCACGGTAAGGACTTTATTTACCCACTGGGCTCCATGTGTTCTCTGGGACTGTCTCTGACTGGGCTCACTGGTTGCTGGTTACTGGGGGAACTGGTATTTAAACAGTTAGCAGGCCTGGCTACAGCGGGTCGGCTAACAGCCCGGCGACAGAGAACGTAACGCCAGACTCCACCGGGAAAAACCTCCGATTAAGAGTTGTTGTCGTTAATGGCGGATAAATATGTCGTTTAATATATATATGATATATTGTCTTAGTTTATAAATCCCTCTTCTTTAATTCGGCTGTATCAGAATTAACAAATAAAGACCTGAAGTTAAATAAAAATACTTTTAGTTGTTGGAAGTTCCCTCAATGTTTTCACCGAGAACACCATAATGGAAAGAAGTGACTCAGTTTACTGATTTAAAAGACATTAGAGGATATTTAAAGTTAAATAAAGCACAATAACTGTTGTTAGTTAAATGTACAGTTTAATATAATATATGTTAGCATGCTAAGGTAGTTAGCAGTGGTTACCTAATGTCAGAGACTGCGCAGCTTCAACAACACTTATTATTCCTCTTTATTCTCTTTATTCTCTTTACAGGACATATATTCACCATTAAACACACAGATATACTTTATTATATTAGATATTATAAAGTTAAACCATAATAAATATATACAGAATGCACAATATGACCTAAAATACAATATAAGGTATAATAAATATAAATATAGGCTCAAATACTGTGTAGATCTTTATCACAGGTGTTGTGTTGTTTAATTATTATTTTTTATATTTATTAGTTAGTTTTATTTTCATTGTAACTTGGCGGGTATTTGTATTAGGGTACAAACACAGAGGCCAACTTCAATTAAAGGATATCAGAAAACTTTATCATCTCAGCTGTTTATTAATTTCTGTGACGTAAACTAAATGAAATTGTTATTTTTATAGATAGTTATTAAAGATCCAGACCACAAAAGTATTAAGCTAATGCAGCAGTGGCCAATAAAGTGTGAAAATAATCGTTAAAATACAAAATACAGATGAACAAATGCATAAAATAAAAAGTTCCTAAAAAATATCAGAAAAACCAGCGAGGACTTTCCTCCGAATCGTCGTTTTACACAAACTTCCTGCGGTTACCGCTGTTCAGGTAAAGTTCATAAAGTCAGTTTATCAATGATAGATGAATAAAACAGGCTGTAGGAGAGAGAGAAATATTCCAAACAAGGAAATAATTGTGAAGGAAATACACAACGTCGAGCCTCGAGTGAAATGAGATCTCTCTCTCTTTTTAATTCAAGTGGAACCGGTTCGATTGCTTTGACTTTACTGAAGGTTTCACTCTTTTTTGGGGACATTTGAACTCTCCTCTGTCTGACAGAGTGTTTAGTTTTCGGGATCACCGACACTGTATTGGATGTTTTTCTCTGACTGTGTGTTTTCTGTTTTATTTCCTCGCAGCGGAGCCACCATCTTCCCTGCAAACTGCACGGAGCGTCGGTTCTCTCCGTCCGAACCTACGCTGACAAAGCAGCAAGTAAGATAACCCTAACTCTTTATCACCTGTCTTCATTAATGGTCTCTAATCACCTTTAACCAGGTGTTTGCAGACATTGCACCTCTTGCATAAAGCTCATAAAACCTCATAAAACCTATTAATGCTGTAATCTGTTGAGACGTTTTCCCTTTTAAGGTTCGTTTGTAACATTAATCACCTGAAAATAAGCGTTATCGTGCTTTTGTTTCCCTTAAAATGAGACGTTTTTATCCTCTTCTGTGGCGTCCGTCATTTTGAATCTCCATGTTTCTACAGTAGCCCCGAGTGGACAAACCAAACACTGGTTGCAGATTAGGGCATTGGGTGTTTTTTGCACGTTTTGCAGCCGTTTTAGTTTCAACTTTTGTGCTTGAAACTGGAGCGAGATACGATCTTTTTAAATCACAACCGCTGCCTGAACTGATAGTTTGTAAAGAAAAGAAGCACAACAGCTTTAAGTACACTTAAATATATTTATATAAATAAATAAATAAATAGAGCTCTGGTATTGAAACGCGCTGACACCTGCGTTGTCCGGTGGATGGCGGTCGTTTAGGAACCGGTTCCCTATTGGCATACATACAATTAGTCTTATTATTGATATTTGGGGGCGTCGATAACGTCGGCAAATCTCACAAATCAGAAATTTGACTTGAAACCTTTTTGTGGTAAAAAGATTTGGAGGATTTGAATATAATGCCACATTTCTGTTTTTTATATAGTTTTTTAACCCTCTTTTACATTATCAGTGATTTGTGCTGCTTATCCTTTAAATTACGAGGTAATTGTCTGATCTAAAAAATGTTATAAATAAATCCCAACATGGAGTTTTAAATAGTAAATTCTGTCTGACCAGCATCTCAAATCTTTAAATATTTATAAGGACGTCAAACAGTCGATGAAGGAGCAGAACCATCACCTATTTCCTGTGGTTACTTCACAATAAAAGCCTCGTTGAATCAGCCGTCGCTCTACAGTCTTTATACAACTGAGGGCTGAACTCTCGATGCTCTGAGCTGCTGTTATAAACTCGTGATTAAAAGTTTCTGTGTGTTTGCCTCCCTGTAGTCGATGCAGACGTCACAGTGGTGGGCTCCGGTCCAGGCGGCTACGTCGCCGCCATCAAAGCGGCGCAGCTCGGCTTCAAGGTAAGCTGCCTTCAAGTGATTAAGGGTCGACAGTATGGATCAATTCCTCTATCGTCCTGTTTGTGTGTGAAGACTCTGTGAATGTAACTTAATCTTTATAACGTCCCGTAGAACGAATGTAGAAATCTTTAATGTCTGTTTGGTTTTCCTGCGACAGACAGTGTGTGTTGAGAAGAATGCGACGCTGGGCGGGACCTGTCTGAACGTCGGCTGCATCCCCTCGAAGGTAAAGATCTGTAGAGACATCCACACTGTGAAGAACTGCTTCGATATCAGCCTTGGTGGAGCCATGTGAAACAAAAAAAACACACTTGAACTTAAGATACATAAAACAACAAAAAATACATGAAATATTTGCTTTAGATGTTAAGGTTGAATGGGTATTTTGTGTGTGCAGGCTCTGCTGAACAACTCCTACTTGTACCACTTGGCTCACGGCAAGGACTTTGAAAGCAGAGGCATCGAAAGTAAGAGTCCTCGCCGGATTATTTAAAGGGATGTTTTCCGTAGCTCAGGTTGAGGATGTCCGTCAGGGAGAGCTGAAGATGAGTTTTCATAGTGTTTGTAAACTGTCTTTACATCAACAGGTATCCTTAAAATGTCTCAAGTTGACATCTTTAAATGTCTTTAGAGGCTGGAACCAGTCAGACAGTTAACTGATTGTCAATATAGTCGCCAGTTGTAAAGTTGAAATAATCAACTAACTTTTTCAGATGTATCTTGCATCATCAGGAGTCTTTAAATAACTCCATTAATAACAAACACATCATCTTTAATTATGAAAGTAGTAAAACCACACAAAGGGCCATTTACAGCACACTGCATTTATCAGCCAGCGTCAGTAATCAATACTCACATTATTAAAGCATTAATCAGACTGTTAACTAACAGCAGTCAATGTCAGACAACCTGATCAGCCTTCAGCAGTCAGCTAGTGTTTCTGTAGTGGAGACTAAACGTTAACAATGATCCATATCAGCAGTTTGAATCCAACTAAAAGCTCCCTGCACCAAACTCCCTTTAAGAAATATCACATTTTAACAATTCCTAACGTGTTCGTAACAACACGTAACTCTAGAAACACGAGCTAAAGGCCGTCATATGTTATCTGTTTGATTAATTGATTTGATCTTCTAATGTGCGACCTTAAAAAAGTGTTTATTAACCAATAAATGTGTTTTTCTCATTGGACTACAAACCAAAACTCGGCTCAGCTTGAACAATTTAAGAAGCTTTAAGACTAAACTGAACCTTAGTAACTCAACAATTGTTCTTTATTAACATTTAAGGAACAAAAATGATGATTGAAGTCTCTCTCTCTCGCTCTCTCTCGCTCTCTCTCTCTTTCTCTCGCTCTCTCTCTCTCTCTCTCTCAGTCTCAGGCATCTCGTTGAACCTGGAGAAGATGATGGCTCAGAAGAGCGGAGCGGTCAAAGCGCTGACCGGAGGAATCGCACATCTATTCAAACAGAACAAAGTCAGTCCTCTCTCTCTCTCTCTGGTTTTAATGGTTGCTCGCTCACTCGCAGATAACGGCGTTCACGGTGTGACATCCCTCCCCACAGGTGACCCACGTCAACGGTTTTGGGAAGGTGACCGGTAAGAACCAGGTGACGGCGGTAGCGGCAGACGGCAGCGAGCAGGTCATCAACACCAAGAACATCCTCATCGCCACCGGCTCCGAGGTCATGCCCTTCCCTGGGATCCAGGTATGGAATTTAAAGTCCAGAGAGGTTCGAGCAGAGTTCCCACATGTGTCTTGGAAAACCTGGAAATGGATTAAAATGACCAATAACAGGGACACTATTCATCCTGTTAATAATGAATAATAAATAATAGTGAAACGGTTATTTTAAAGTAGAAAAGTTACGTAACGTTGCTTTAAATTGACACGCTTGAACGTTTCCCTTTTTGTTTCAGATTGACGAGGAGACCATCGTGTCGTCAACAGGAGCTCTGTCCCTGAAGAAAGTTCCAGAGGAGATGATCGTGATCGGAGGCGGAGTCATCGGAGTGGAGCTGGTCAGCATCTTTGTTCAGAGTCATAAAAATAACCCGTCGAAGAATTTCACTCATACGAACAGATGTGAATAAAACCAGAAAAAAAAAAAAAGCTTAACTCAACCATGTTTGTCCTCCCGTCCTGCAGGGGTCAGTGTGGCAGCGTCTGGGCTCTAAAGTCACGGCGGTGGAGTTCCTGGGCCACGTGGGCGGCATGGGCATCGACATGGAGATGTCCAAGACCTTCCAGCGCATCCTGCAGAAGCAGGGCTTCAAGTTCAAGCTCAGCACCAAAGTCATGGGAGCCACCAGGAGGCCCGACGGCAAGATCGACGTGGCGTGAGTTTAAACGCTCCTGAATGTTCACATCCTGTCAGGATATCCTCACGAGGCTGAAATGTGATTTATAGAAGTCGTTTGTAACTGTGTGTGTGTGTGTGTGTGTGTGTGTGTGTGTGTGTGTGTGTGTGTGTGTGTGTGTGTGTGTGTGTTTCAGAGTTGAGGCGGCGGCCGGAGGGAAGAACGAGACTCTGACGTGTGACGTGCTGCTGGTCTGTATCGGCAGACGACCTTTTACCCAGAATCTGGGTCTGGATTCTGTAGGCATCGAACTGGACAACAGGGGCCGCATCCCCATCAACAACCGCTTCCAGACCAAAGTACCCAGGTACCCGACCCAATAACCGACCTAATTATCAGATTTGAGAATTTAAATAATCTGATAAAGATCCATTAAATTTGAATTTAAACAAAACAAATACAATAAAAATTAGACAAAATGCCGATAACATTCACAATGTGGCGATTATTAAATATTAAACTATATCTGCCACTGTGTATGTTTAAGTTTAAAGGCTCTTGGTTTCTCCCCCTCAGTATTTATGCCATCGGTGACGTCGTCGCCGGGCCGATGTTGGCCCACAAGGCCGAGGACGAGGGCATCATCTGCGTGGAGGGCATGGCCGGCGGCGCCGTGCACATCGACTACAACTGCGTTCCCTCCGTCATCTACACACACCCCGAGGTGGCCTGGGTGGGCAAGACAGAGGAGCAGCTCAAAGAGGAGGTGAGAGTCAGGAGATGATTGATGATGCTCAGGTAGCGTACACTGAGCAGTGAGAGAGAAGCATAACGGTAAAGTTGTGGCCGGAAAAGTGAAAAACTAAAACTAAGAGGGGCGATATGTTGAAATGTGCAGTAGTTTGAACTGAGAGTTTGCTTTAGTAAACGAAATAAACCAAGAAAGGAAAAGAAAACACAGAAAATACTCTATAACTTCAAGTTTTCTCTGTTTTACTGAACTAAAAGCTCAACTGCCTCGTTAACTCGTCTTAAAAACAAGATTCATTCATTCAAACTCGACAGAAACTAAATAAAACTCAACAAACCATTTTTTATCAGTTTCCACTGTTCCAACAATCACGGATTTGGGGTTTAACCGAGTTAGATGAACATGCTGTCGCTGCCTCTCTGATGCGCGACCTCCCTCTCGCTCCCGTCCCCTCCGTGTCTTCGTCAGTGGCTGCTGCGAATCACCTTGTTACTGTATTCCCTGTCGTCACACTGGTCCAAATAAACACTTAATCGGGGTTCCCACACATTGTGGAGAAACTGGAAATTTAGAGTCATGAAATCGATTCAAATGAACAAATATTTTTTTACTTTTTGTGCGTTTTCCCTCATTCGTTGGTGGTCGCTCAGTGAGCTGTGGAGATAAAGCAGTGGTGGAAGAAGAATTCAGATTGTTTAAAAAGGCAGTCAAACTATAATTAAATCCTCTATTACAGGTAAAAGTCCTGCATTCTGCTTAATATACTGTTTGTCTGTAACAGTGCATCATATTTATGAACTGACGACATGTTTTATGTGTAAAATCTGAACCTGCAAAGTAGTAGAGTTTGAATATTAAGTAGCAGAAACTGGAAATAATGAAGCACAGTTTTAAGGTACTTAAACCACATCAGGTCACTGTGTAAGTCTTAACATAAAATTCCAGTTTTATTGGGCTGAAACTGAAATAATCATGTAGTTGTCGTGTGCACAGGGTCTAATATTTAAGGGGGTGTCTCGTCTCTGTGTCCGGCAGTGTTTAACTGTGTTCCTCTCCTCCTCAGGGCGTCCCGTACAAAGTCGGCAAGTTCCCCTTCGCCGCCAACAGCCGAGCCAAGACCAACGCAGACACCGACGGCATGGTGAAGATCCTCAGCCACAAGGAGACGGACAGGATGCTGGGAGCTCACATCGTCGGATCTGTAAGAGCTTTAGAGACGGTTTAACTTCTAACGTTTATCAATGGCTCTGTTCCAATTCAGTGTCCAGTGAGGGAATGCAGCCCACACATAGTCTGCAGTCACATCAGCGCCCTCATGAGGTTGTAATGCTCATTGCAAATCGGAAACAAATCGGAGAGAGGGTTTCTAATCCGAGTGTCTTACCACCAGTGGGTTGGCGCCGGAGGAAAAGTCCCGTTGTCGGCTAAATCACAAAGGCTCATCCTTTGTACGGTGGCCTTATTAGGACATCACACACTCAGAAACAGAATCTTGATTCTCATTTGAATAAATCGTCTGTTTGACTCTAAATTGACCCGTAATTTACAAAATGAACATGATGCTCATCAGGAAACAGTTTACTGAGCTCATAAATCAACTGAGAAGTCGGCTCATTTCTGCATAAGACTCAATACTATTGGACTTTGAAGATTTGGATTATCTTCCCTTATGGATTTATCTCCCTATCTAACCATCTAGTAGATCTATCTATCTATCTATCTATCTATCTATCTATCTATCTATCTATCTATCTATCGGGAGTCTCAGACAGATGTGTTTTAAACGTTGTTGTTGTTGCGTGTTTCCTGCAGGGGGCAGGAGAGATGATCAATGAAGCTGCTTTGGCCATGGAGTACGGCGCTTCCTGTGAGGACATCGCCAGAGTCTGCCACGCTCATCCTGTATGTCCACACACACACACACACCTGTAGGGCTTGGATAATGACTATTTAGAGCTATATTTCTTTATAAATTCATAAATACTGACTTATTTACACGTTTAATTGTAAATTAACTCTAATTTTGGGTAGTTTGGTCTTTAATGATGCATTTTTATGAGTAAAAAGTTCAATGTTTTCCTCAAAAATGTAGTAGAAGTACAAAGTAGCATAAAATGGAAATAATTTGTTCCTGAGAAGACCTTGAAAATTAGAGACTAGTTTTCCATTCATCGAAACAACTTAAAGTGGATTAAAATTACAAATAAAATCGACTGTCGGTTGCAACGTGACAGATGTTCACACAACCTGCAGACGTTATTAATTATCAGATTTACATTTAATTATGTGTAACAAACACTTTACTACCTCCTTTTATTAATAGGTGTGTAAAAAAAATCCAACATATTCTCAGCTTTCATACAAACGTGCAGCTCAAAGTGCTTCACACAGCAAATAGAGACAACACAATATCAACAAACATAAATAAAGGCTAAAAATGAATACAGTAAACACAATAAAATGTAAAACATTTAAAGAAAAATTATCTCCTGGGAGACAAATAATATAAAAAGGCTGATTTGAGCTGTTTATTATTGTATTTATGAGCTCTGGAGTGTCTCATAAACGCCAACCACCGCTGTAAACAAGTTACTGTCCTCTGTTGTCCCCAAAAAAACTCCTGGAAAATGATCTCTTCTCTCTTCATCCTCTTCCTCCTGCAGACGGTGTCGGAGGCCTTCAGAGAAGCAAACCTGGCCGCCTCCTTCGGCAAAGCCATCAACTTCTGATCCGCCGGGCCGCTGTCGCACCTTCATTGTACATAACAGAGGACAACCAGGAAGTTGTGTGTGTGTGTGTGTGTGTGTGTCTGTGTCACAAAAACAACAACAACAACAACAACCTTCATCCAGCCCAGCGGGATCCTCTGTGTACATCCAAACTGTACCACATTTAGTTCTAATGTTATTTAACTGTTCTGAATAAAATGATAAGAGAGGGTTTTTGTTGGGGAGGCGGTAAATAAACGCTGACTGCAGATCAGTCTTCTTTGCTTTCCAGAACACATAGTTTAAAGAAAACAACAAAAAAAGATCCCAAAGGAGGAGGAGCAGAGTACTCGCTCATTTACACAACATAGAGATATAAATATTATTTTCGCTCGGTGGAGGTTTCTCTTGTAGAAGAAGGAGTGTTTTTGTTTCTCTGTTTTTTACAGTGTGAAAGAGTTTCAACACGACGAATATGATGTGTAATCAGAGCAGGAAGCTGGAACCGCTCAGTTTAAAGAAAGAAGGAATAAATTCACTCTTGAAGTTTCTCTGTTGGTTAAAACACGTTCAGTAACGTTGAGTCGTCAATATCTCTGATGGCGAAATTAGAAACTAGAAAGAGATTAATTTATCATTTGTTTCCTTTAAAGTACTTTTTAGGTGCACATACCGTAAAACTTCTATCAAAAGTCCAGAAAAGACACATGTCTCCTTTACTAGCCTGGTGTCTCCATTAGAGGCCTGGTGTGGATTTTATGGAAATTATCTAAAAGTGTTTAAACTTCTTTCAGAGAAAAAAGCTGAAATGAGTTTTGTGCCGAAGGATTGAAATAAACTGGGCTACTATTAGAGGTTTTACGGTATTCACCTTTAATTAACTGCTTGTTAGCATGTGTAGTAGCAGCATATTGGCTCTTTATTAGTCGTTATAAATCACTTATTAATGCATTGACCCTATTCTACATCTAGAAGACGAATTACTGCTTATTGATAGTATGTAAGGAAGTTGTTGTACATGAATTTGGCTGATGTTTATTTGTTGCTATTTATTTACCCGTATATGACGGGGAAACAAATAAATCAACAATCATATTCTGAGTTAATTTACAGTTATTCAGACTATTAAGACTTGTAGTTTTGTTACCTAAGAATAGTCATTTATTTTTTATATATATAATATATATATATTTTAAGGGAGAACTCTTGCGGTATTAACACCTTATAAAGCCCATACTGAGCACCGCTTATTAACAGCATCAATAATGTACAACAACTTCCTTAATTACTATCAATAATTATAATAATTAGGAGGTTATTGAGGGAAACCAGAATATGGCATTAATAAGTGATTTATAGTGACTAATAAAGAGCTAATAAGCAATTAGTCAATGTGTACTTTATAGTGACTAAAAAGTTTTAGCTAACCTCTGAAACAGCTAGTAAATGTGTACGACATCTAGCTCTATAAATGTTCTTTTTAACTTCTCTCCTGTGGGAATTCTGACTTATTTATTAAAACTCAGCATTTATCTTTGACTACTTAAAGGTTCCCAGTGGAGGTTTAGAGCTCCAGTGGATCTGCGTCTCTGTGCACGAGGATTTAAAATACTTACAAATCTGCTTTTACGCGCCAATATAGAGCTCGAGGATCCACACGATGTGAATGTAACTCCACTTTAGGCTGTAATGTTATTTTAACTCTAAAACAAATTGTTGAAACTGATTAAATTGAAACTTTTATGCAGCACAAACACAATTTTTTTAAGTTACAGAAACATTATTGTACTTACAAAAGTTAGTTTTCAGTTTCTTTGAGTTCCATTAACTTACAGTGAAGTGAATATAAACTAAAGTTCTGGAGGAAGAGCTGTTGATAGTTGCTGTTTCCTGCTCTGATTGCTGCACTCTGATTGGCTCTGGCCCTACTCCGGCTTTTCTCACCATTTAAAACCAATAAATGCAATATCAGGTAAATACGTGTGTCATTTTTTCATTTACAGACATTTACAATAAAGTCCAGTGTAACATTTAGGAGGATTTATTGAACAGAATGTGTTTTCATTACCACTAAATCCTGGCCGTGGTTCCCCACTAGGGTCACTCTGTAGGTTTATATCTCTGTGAAGGAAACAAAATGATCTGATTATTATTTAAAATCTAAACTTTGAAGATCTGAACACGAGTTATATCCACAGAGCTTCAGTCTCTGATAAACTGCCTCGTCCTGCGTTAGAAAAACAACCAAAGAGCTGAGAAGAAACGACTGAATCTGTCCAAAAAAGAAGCGTATTGAGTCTGAATGATTGTTTAAAATGATCAAAAATAAAAATATGAGGAAAACTGATCAATATTTAAAGGAAATAATCTGCTCAAAATTCATCCAAATTGTTCGTATTACACAAACTTCCTGCAGTTACTGAGTTCACTGTTCAGTTTATCAGCTGTTCTCTCGTTAATATCCCAAAAAATATGTCATTTATAGCGTTTCTCCACCAATTAGCTCTGAGCTCGATGCCATCAAACGAAGCAGCCCACGTTTCCATCAGTTCAGAGTGGAACCGTTGTGATCGATAGAGAGGAAACCAGATACTTTCATTTAACTGTAACTGACATAATCAGGGATGTTTCTGTAGCTTACAGGTATAAAGTTTGATTGATTGAAAGCAGCTTTATCTTTTTTAAATCAATATAAAATAAAAACTATAATAGCTCAAACGTTCAAGCTTTAACTTCAGTCTGTAACGCCGTCACATTGCACTCTGGGTGATATCCAGGAGGAGACGAGCAGCTAAATAATGTAAGTGAAAATGATCACGTCTCAAAAACTTAAACAACTTCTGGAGTGTCAGGAAATATTAAGTTCATGTTTCTACATTTAGAAATATTTTGAATCATTTTCATTTAATAAAATCTGATGATGTGTGTTTTATTCATCATTCTTCCTACTGTTGTTTGTTTCTATTTCCCATGCTTATTTATATATAGAAATACATACACATATATACTTTTTTTGTTCTTTTTATTTCAGTACAAACTAATAAACTACAAAAGATTCAAAGCAGAACCAACTCACACAAAAAACAATTTAAAAAAAGAATAGAAATGGATAAAAGAAAACAAAAAAGAAAGTGAATTTATGACTCAATTTTAGTCCTTTTTCTAATTATTATGTTTTATTTACTTATAAAAACCTTTTAGCTTCGGTTTTACAGGGTTTAGGGACATGAATCATCTCAAAGTACTCGAAGATCTGACGTCACAATAAGCAAAAATACCAACGGAGGCCTTTTTCTCTGGCCGAGTTCAGAGGGTTAAACGTCTCATTAGGAACTTTATCTGGCAGCTTATCTCTGAAGTAAAGGAGGAAACACACAGACTTAATTCAGTCGCTGTTGTTCTGTTAAATGACACATATTTGAATAACTGGTATTTTAGCAGCAAGGACTCCACCTCTGTTTGAACACTGACTACGTAGGTACCTGTGTGTGTGTGTGTGTGTGTGTGTGTGTGTGTGTGTGTGTGTGTGTGTGTGTGTGTGTGTGCTCAGCAGGTGTGGTGGCTGCAGCAGGTCGAAGCAGACGGACTTCTTGAAGCTGAAGATGGCCGACTGAACTGTGGAGGAAACGGGACAGACCAGAACAACGTTTCACAGCCGACTGAACAAAAACGCAGAAGAAATGAGATTTAAATAAGAGCTGTGGTCGTTACTCTCAGGTACTGTCGCAGTTTAATGTCGTATTAACAGACGCTAAAGATGTGTTCATTATATGGTTCACAGTTAAAAAATACAGCTTTTATACTTTATGTGTGTTGATGTGAAACTGTGTGTTTGGTTTGTGGTTAAATCCCCAAAAAACAGACACTTTCCATTTTGTTTCCTTCCTTATTTCCCTCATTCTTCCAAACTTTTCTTCCCGTTTTGTTTATTTCTTCCTCCTTCCCTTCCTCTCTTCTATCTCTCTTCCTTTACTACACTTTCTTCAGAAAACACACACTTGTTGTCTTGTTGTTGTTGACTCTTTTATCTCCAGTGACCTCGGTCAGTATGTGTCAGCGACCTTTATCATCAAAAGAGTCGTTTTTTATTTTAATCGCAAAAAAAGGCGAGAAAAATAATATTTCCTTGCATTTCAACAGGAGCCCAATAAGGTGGTCGCTGTCTCTGCATCATATACATCTACAAATGTTTCAATCGATAATAATATTCAATAATAACACTTCACTCTGTCTGTCTTCAGTTCCACATGAGTGAAATGTGTAAACAGCTTCTAGCAGTGTGTGTGGACTTCATGTTAAGTAAACTTGTTTTTACATCTGAGCCGTGGGACAATGAAACACTTAAACCTGCTTCAGAGACCCTCTGCTGAGGAAAATATTGATTGGCTGTAACGTCCTACAGAGAGACCACAAATTATTAAAGAGTAACTTAACTGCAGCCTGGACGTCTGTGTTTCACTGCCCCCTGTGGTTGAACCTGTAATCACACGCAACAGTGATGTCACGGCGTACTGACACACCCTGGAGTACACCTCTATGTCACTCCAAGATGGAGACTGGAGGTTCAGCACAAGTTTTCAGTTTTCAGCCTTTTAAACGTACAATTTCTGCCGCTAGAGGGTCTCTCACATCAAAACAATAATAAAAGACGAAGTGTGATGAGGTGGTGAAGCAGCGTGGGATCATGGGAGTTGTTGTCTTCACCACCATTGGCGTCATTGCAGTCAGCTTCTCCCGGTTAGGATTCCTTCAGTGTTCATGGTTCAGGAGGTTTCTACCGGGAGCCCAATGATCCACAGAGGTCTCCTCCTCTCCAACACAAACAGACCCGCTGATTAAAACCACTAAACACACTGAATAAAGCAGTTCCACCTTAAACACACTGAATAAAGCAGTTCCACCTTAACAATCACTGCTTCTCCCACGCTGTTGGACAGACAAAGGACGTCCCGGAGGGGCTGCGAGCCGAGCTGCTGCCAACGTTAGCTCAGCTTGTTTCTCTGATAACTTAAGATCCAGACGTCCGATGACTAAAATCCTTCATCCGGTTCAAATCTAGAGTTAAAAAGCACCAAGATCTAAACAGTGGATGGTAACAATGTCTGTGATTTTTAAGGTGGAACTGCTTTATTCTGTGTTTTTAGCCGTTTTAATCAGCGGGTCTGGAGACCTCTGTGGATTAAAAACTACAAAATCAACTGTAATTCGCTTAATTCTGAACTGATCTTAATGAAATTTGGTTTGTTATAAACGTCACATATTTAACGAGATGCTGGTTACTTGTAGTTGAATTAATTCAGATCTAATCATCAAAAACTTCCACTTGGACACGAAGGTTGCGATCTATTAACAGGCAACATCAATGTGAATGTTTCTCTAAAAATTGTAGATTTCTTTACATATTATATTGTTATAAAGCCGCCGGGCTGATTGTTTCCTGTCAGACAGAAATTTGAACCATGTAATTGAACCAATTTGAACTAGTGTAAATGTACACTGACTGTCTTTAATATTTGTACATCCAGAACGCTGCAGACGCCGGCAGCACAGAGTTAATTAGCCGAATTAATTCCTACAAGAAACCAACATCAGGTTCAACTTCTCGCCCTCGTAACAAACCAAGTTTCATGGAAACTAGTTCAGAGCTGAGTGAGTTACAGCTCATTTTCTCTCTCAGTCTCTCAGTATTGTCATTGACTCGTGAGATCTTGACCTCCACAATATGGCAACTGCGTCAAATCGAGAACACGGTATCTACGTTTCTGTAAACACCAAACCCCAACGAGGGGGCCAAGACCTCCTGAAACAAGATCTGTGCGTCCACTGTTGGATCCTTTTACTGTTTTCTGTATCCATACGACAGTAAAGAAGATTTAAATATTGATTGAAGACATCAATTAATCAGTTCAGAGTTTCTGTGTTCAGGGCTGCAGGTTGTTCACATTCGGATCTTTAAGTGGAGATTCTGGCTCCGAACAGGAAGTGAACTTTCTCTGTTTGGAGAGAAAAGTGCTTCAGATGCTGATTACCTTGAAAAACAATGCGGCTGACGGAGGGAGGAGACGTTTCCTGCTTCTAATCAAACAGTTTGAGGGGTTGTTTTTAGGGAACGTCACCTCCTTCCTCTTCACTCGTTCTCTCCGACACGACTCTGTTGTTATCCTGAGCCGTGGTCGTCTGGTCGGAGCGAGTAGGGATGTGGACGTTTCTGTAAAACTCGTCATTAGTGAGTAAAATGTTTCACTTCCAGCTTTTATTTATTATTTTAGACGCCTGTTTGTCTTGATTTTGGCAAAAAACTTGTTCCCGCTCGATGTTTTAGTCGTAACAATACTCGATGCAGACTGTGATTAACGGCTAAGAAGAAGAAAAAATCCACATTATCTTATAAAATCTTTGTTTTCAGGAGGGTTAAAAATAATAAATCTTTTTAAAATGTATTTATTTTTTTCCCCAACTAATCACATTTTTGGTGGCAGAAACATCTTCAATAAACTCAGGGAACGCGGCACAAAATTCGGTGGTAGTGAAAGTTTACTTATTCTACGAGTCTCGAACAAGGCCATCACAAAATGGCTCAACCACGCCCCCTAAAGGCCACCAAAGCACGCTTAATAATAATAATATAAATAAAAATACATTTTATTCATAGAGAGCTACAGAGGTTCGATAGGTAATAGAAACAACAATTAATCACACATTAAAAGCAGCTCTGAAGAGAGTTCAGGGATTTGAACGTGGACGGATCGGTACAGTCTTGGAGGGGGAGCGAGGGGGCAGCTGTGGAGCCCCAGGATGGATGCTTGGTCCTCAGCGGTGGAGACAGGAGGTCGGCGGAGGCTTTGGAAAAGGAGTGCGGAGGTGGAGCAGAACAGGGCCTGGTTGTGGAGGGCTGTGTGAGTGAGGAGGACTGTAAACTGGATCCAGTGGAGGTTCTGGAGGACGGGGGGTGATGGGTATGGGTGAGTTCTGGATGTAGTTTATTGAGGTGTTTGGAGGATGTACCTGGATGAGAGGAGAGTGACGGGCGGGTGTTTCTCCGGGAGGGAGACAGACTTTGATTGATGCAGTGATGACCTTCGACCTCGCCGCAGTTGGAGCTCAGTTGTGGCTGCGTGTTGTTGCTTGTGCTAGCTGTGTTGGACTCCTCGTCCCAAATGTCTTCCAGACTTTAAACTCGGTGCGCTGTAGACGCTGTTAGCAGCAAAGCTTCGGTCAACTGATTCATAACTTTTTCTGATGTAACGTTAAAATGTTCCACCTTGTAGCAGTAAATCTTTAAACTCCTACCCCAACTAACATCACTGGACTTCTCCTTTAAAACATCCGACTTGCTCAAAATGAATTCAGATTTCAGATCTCCTCAGATTTATCCAGACACTGACTTCAGGAAAGAGAGGAACGACGATGGAGGCAGAATGAAGTCACATATTTCTGTCTTTGTGAGGATTTAATTAACATTTTTGACCTTAAGAATGAGGATTTATTTTTGGAAACCCTTCCTCAAAAGGGCTGTGTGTGTGTGTGTGTGTGTGTGTGTGTGTGTGTGTTGAAACAGTGTCGAGGCTTCGTGAGGAGTTTCGTTATCAGCGTGTGAATCGGGTGCTGCTGTTTGTTCATGGTGGAGTCCTGCGGGTGGAATTTAACTGAGTCACATCAGAACAGTTTGGTGGTTCTGATGTTTGATTTTATACGTCACTGTGGTTGGGAAGTCTCCAGTTCTGGAGGTTTCACTGTCCAAACACAGCGTGACAGCGGCAGTGGATGTTTTCTTTCTAAGCTTCTTCCCAGCTCTAAATTCATGATTCACTCTTCATAAATATCTTTATTTGTCTTACACGCTGATCCAAGGAAGTACTGGAAATGATTTGCTTGCTTTAAGTGTTTCTGTGGAACGTTTTGTAAAGATGAAATCTGGAAGAAGCTGTGCAGTTATCAGCTGCTCCAACATTAGTGGCAAACTGCAAATCTGGAATAAAAACTGAATGTGGGACACACACAGGCCTTTACATGAGATGGTGGTGCACTTCAGCCTCTTGTGGTCGAAATGAGAACTACAATAACAAAGACTTTCACCTGTTTTCACAGATGAAATAAAATAAAACAAAAAAATGTTTTTTCACCTTTTTTTCAGATTGAAGTTGAAAAAATTCTTTTCACAAAATTTTCACTTGTTTTTACAGATAAAAAATTACTTTTAAGGCTTTTGAGGAGAACTAAAAATGATCTTAAGAAACAAAATCATGTGTTTTCACATTAAAAAAACAAAACAGAGCAATTCTCCTTAAAATATGTTTTTTTTTACCACAGATGAAAAAAAAATGAATATAAAGTTAGAAAAATTATCTTAAAGAATCTCAATCACAAATGAAAAATAAAAAACTGATGAAAAAAAAGAAAACAACAATTCTCTGATTTTTTTCATGTTTTCAAACATATAAAATTTAAAATATTAAATGGAAATATGTTTTTTTTCAACGGTTTTTATAGTTTAAAAACAAGAAAACTGTTTTACATCAAGCTGAAAATGATATTTTATCTAATTTAAACTGAAACTCTTCTCACTTCTCTTGCTTTCAGAGCTCCTCTCTTCATCCTCTTCATCCTCATCCTCATCATCCTCGTCATCATCATCCTCGTCATCATCATCATGCCTTCCATCAGTCCACAACCAACTTCTTCTCATCCAGCACATCTGGCATCAAATCCATCTCATTCGACACCTCATGCATCACCGTCAGAGGCTCCCCCCATCGCGTCCTCCCCAGCCCTGACCTCCCACCCCTTCACCATCATCTTCACCACCGCCGTCTACACTAACACCACCCTCAGCCCGGCCGGCGCCTTCTTCAACAACCTTCTGAACAAGATCCCCCGTAAGTCACCAAAGTGCTGTAACACTGCAGTGTAGAAATACTCTGTTAGAAGTAAAAGTACAAAAGTCTCAGCATCACCTAAAGTAATCAATATGCAGTATATTATATTATTGGATTATAATTATTGATGCATTAATCACTTTTATGTTGCAGCTGGTAAAGGTTACTTTATATACTGTAAACATGTTGTTTAAGTTTATGTTTTTATACGTTTTAAAAAGTAAAAAACTGATTTTTTTTTGTTTCCAAAACTTAAAAATTTAAGATTTTGAGGAGAAAAGTAAATTATTATTAATTGTTAAGACAGTTGCCTTGAAATGTTTTGTTTTTACAGTGTAGAATTAAAGGCGGAGCTGTTAGATTTACAGCTGTTTACTTTTCCCACCACATCAGAAAGAGATCTCTTTACCCATCTTCTCTCCGACAGTGCCTCGATGGCTGGTTTACGCCATCTTTGTGGCCGGCGGTCTGCTGATTCTGCTCTGCTGTCTGTGTATCTGCATCAAGTGCTGCTGCAAGGGGAACAAGAAGAAGAAGCAGCAGAAAAAGGACGAGAAGATCAATCTGAACGGCGTGAACGGAAAAACCACCTCAGCTTTAGTGAGTGACGGCGCCCTCTGGAGGATCATTGGATGGCTGTTTCAGAAAAAAGGCAGAAATAAATGCAGATTTAATCGCAAACAATCACATAAATCAATATTTGCTCTCAAAAAAAACCATAATTGTGGCACATTAGTAAAGCACTGAATAGAAGATAAGGCTTGTGTTAGCTCCTTCTGGTGTCCGTGACCTGATGTGCTTCCTGTGCTCTGATAGATTCAGCCGGACGTGGCGGATGTGGACTACGGCTCGGCCAAAAAGCGGCGAGGAAAGCTGCTCTACTCTCTGGAATACAACGGCGCTCAGTCTGAGGTGATCCAACCTGTGACTATAGCTTCAAGTCAGTGGAGGAAAAATAATAAATGGACAATGAACAATAACAACATTTATGGTGAAACATCTTAGTCAGGGTTAGGATTAGTACCCAAGAAGGGTTTATGTTGTCTTATCCACTCTAAGGGCAACTTAGGGGGGCACTTTATCGTGTTTTATCTGCTGGAAGGATCACTTAGAGGGCGCTTTATCTTGTTCGCTAAAAGTCTGTTTTCCGTTGGTCTTTCAGCTCACAGTGGGGATCAAACAAGCCAGCGGCCTGAAGGCCATGGACCTGGGAGGAAGCTCGGACCCGTACACCAAAGTCTACATCTGCCCCGAGAAATCCAAAACCTGTGAGACCAAAGTGTTCAGACACACGCTGAACCCCGTCTTCAACGAACAATTCAACTTCCATGTAAGAAGTGGTGTCGAAAAGGTTCCTCAAAACAAAAAGGTCCCAAAAGGTTTCAGGACCGACCCTCAGATACTTCTGATGCTTCTTTTCCCAGATATCCAAGTCGTCCCTCCTGGCTTCGACGGTGGTGATGCAGATCTTTGACTTTAACAGATTCTCCAAACACGACATCATCGGCGAGCTCAGGGTGCAGCTCTGCAACGTGGACTGGAACCACGTCATCGAGGAGTGGCAGGACCTCGCCGAGCCCTCCAAGTTTGAGGTTCGCTTTGTTCCCTTTTTTTGCACACTGGGTACATTTCACAATGCGAAGCTATAGTGGCCGGAGGGGAGAAGAAAACACACAAGGATTGTATAAAAAGTGACTAGAAATATCAGAAAAAGTCATCTCTGATACATTTCTCAAAGGAAATAATATTTAAAAAATGTCAGAAATTCATCAAAGTCACTAATTTTACACAAACTTCCTGCTGTTACTGAGTTCACTGTTTGGGTTCATTGTACAGTTTCATCAGTTGTTCTCTACTGTTATTGTTATTGTTGAATATAATGTGAAATATCCATCAAATTAGTCATCAGTTTACTCTGGTAGAGTTCCCTCAAGGACAAAGGTTGGGAACCAGCATCAGATCCTCAGGTGGTCGAGGCTTTAACCATCAAGCCAGCACCTTCTTCTAAATTCTTCTTTTAAATCGCTTCTTAAAACCCATTTTTACAGGCACATTTATTATATTTCAACATTTAAGATTTCTAAAATAAAAGCAGATTTTTGCATTGAGCTTCCTAACTGGATCAGCAGTATGTACATTAAATTAAAGCTTCCATATATCCAGGTACTTGTACGACCCTTTCAGATGTGAAAACTTAAATCATCAAGTAACTGTAAGCAAGCTTTAGAGAAGACCACGAACTTATTATTATTATTGTACATTTTATGTACACTTATTGCTTTTATGGCTTTTATTGTGTCTTATTTTTGTATTTATTTATATTTCATTACCATGTTTTTCATCTTCTTCCTTTATTTATTCCCAAGCTCTCTGTTGTCATATCGTCTTCTGAGTATCCTGTTTTATTTTCTTTGTAAACTCTGTTTTTTAAAGGTGCTATATAAAGAAAGCTGTTATCATTATTATTATTATTATGATTATTATGATTATTATCTGTGCCTGGGGGACAGAAAACTCAAATCTCCTCTTAATATCCAGTATAAACAGGAAGAATGATTACAGCACAAACTGGTTCATTTTACTAAAAGAAGAATTACTGAGTTGTTTGTTTTCTGTCTCGTCTGTGTGACGCAGGACGAAAACCTGGGAGAGATCTGCCTCTCTCTGCGCTACGTTCCCACCGCCGCCAAGCTGACCGTGGTGATCCTGGAGGCCAAAAACCTGAAGAGGATGGACATCGGTGGAAGTTCAGGTCAGACTGAGACGGGAAAAGATTTCCCAGAGGGTTCGATCGAGGGGTCGAGGCGGAAACCATGCAGCCACACCAGGCTTCTATTTGAGACCCTGCTTTTATTATTAGTTTTACGGTATTAGCGCCTCGTTGTCCAGATTGTTTTCTCCTTGTGTGAGACACACTTTGGACATCATCTAAAGGTTAAAGGTTAAATTTGAACTTTTTTTCGTCCTTAGAGACAGAAATTAGAAATATATATAAAATAATTGTATTAAATATGTTTTATCTCATTCTTTGTAAACAATAACCACATATGGACATGCTTTGTTTGTTTGTTTTCTGTCCATAAAGTGTCTATTTGTCTGAATCCATGTGAATGCAGCATCAGTTTTCAGTGATTTGTGTGTATTTCCTGTTTTTATTGTACTTTTTATCCTATTTTTGTGCAATATTTCATCTTTTTCAACAAATTTCACTTCATTTCAAGTCTTTTTTATTTTAAATCGTGAATCTTAACGTCCACTTGGTGTCTGCAGATCCTTACGTGAAGGTGCAGTTGGCTCTGGACAAGAGGAAGTGGAGGAAAAGGAAGACGTCTATTAAAAAGAAGACCCTGAATCCTTATTACAACGAGTCCTTCACCTTCGACGTGTCATATGAACAAATCCAGGCGAGTTATAGGAGACAGATACAGGATGTTTGAGACTGATACCGATAAAAATGTTTGTTTAACATCTCAAATATGTTAATATAAGAGTAAGATTGGGTTGAAACTGATGGAAGGAAGTGAGAAAGTGTTGTTATTAAGGTGAACTGACCCTTTCTAAAGCCTAATTTTAACTGTACGCCTCGACTCACCTTGGTTTTCCACTGCAGATAGCAACCCCTTTAATGTTTGCCAGCCTTGGGACCTAAAAAATAAGTTGGATTTTGAAATCAAAGTGCCTTGAGATCCTCCCCCGAGAAAAAATCTGAGTTTCAGAGACTTTTTTCTGCAATCTGGTGACTTTTAAAGAATGAAAATAACAACATAAACCCTGCATTTTTATGTTAAATACTTTTAATGTAGCGGTGAAGTTTCAGAAGTGTGTCGGAGAAACTACGGTGGCTCACCCTATTGTAGAGCCAGTGTTTGGTTTGTCCACTCTGGGCTACCGTAGAAAGATGGAAGGCTGTGGAAGGCGTCTGTAGGTAAAAACGTCTCATTTTAAGGGAAAAAAGACACAAACGATTCTTATTTTCAGGTGATTACACGCAGAAAAAGGTCTGGAAATGTTGCCGACATTCGCTAAAAAACATCCTTAAAAATACTGATTGTTAATTAATGTGAAGCACTTTGGTTAGAAGTTGTGTATAATAATAATAATAATAATAATCTATAATAAATGTTATAAAACCTGCTAAAAACAACAGTATGGGGTTTTAAAGCTGCTGTTTGAGGAAGTTTTTAATCTAAAACCTCTGGTCGTCCACAGAGGGTGAACCTGGTGATCTCGGTGTGGGACCACGACGCCATGACGCGAAACGACGCCATGGGGAAGATCTTCCTGGGCTGCGACGCCTCGGGGAACCAGCTCAGGCACTGGGCCGACATGTTGTCCAACCCGCGGCGGCCGATCGCTCAGTGGCACAACCTGCTGTCGGCCGAGCAGGTCAACTCCACCCTGAACCTGAAGAAGAGGATACCCCTCGCCAGCAAACTGCCCTTTTGACGCTCCGGCACAGAAAAAAAAACCCCAGATTTAAATATTGTTTAAAGATAATTATTAAAGCTGATTTAAAATTATATTTTGGTATTAAATTTAGTCTATAAATCATATTTTAATTCCAGACTTGAGCACTTTTTACATTCTTCCTGTATGAATTTTCTGTAATTTGTATTAAATATGTTATCTCATGTAATCTAAGATCTTTTCCTGAACCCAGAACTTTATTTACAGTGTTTTTAAAAGTTATTTCTTTTACGTTACTGTGGAAGATTTGAAAATGTTTCACATTGGCGCCCTCTGGTGGTCGGCTGAGGAATGACACCAGTAATGCAGACGTCAGTAAAATTCGTTGATCTGAAGTTTCTGTTTAATGTTTGTGTTAAATATAATATATATTGAAGAGTCACAATTAATTCTTATTAAAAAAGTCTATTTTTGCTTCTTTTACAGGCTTTTCAGACAAAGTTCACCAAAATTAAAAAGTTATTCCAATTTGTTTCCTTCTGTCTGTAGATTTTACAGTGAAAAACTAAAAGGCTGTAAACTCGAAATAGGTTAAAGTTTCTGTAATTGTGAGAAAACCTTCATTTATACGGCATTTTAAAGGAAATTATACAGAATAAAGTAGGTTTTTTTTTAAATAATTGATGGTAAATTGCACAGAAAACCACAATCATAGTTTTCAAATTGTATTTTAATGTTTGTTTTGATGGTAAAAACTTGTATTTATACGGTAAAATATGGATTAAATTGACCACCCTAAATGCCCAGAGGAAGAATATCTGATCTCAACTGTGCAACCGAAGATTTTTCACTTCTAGATGTAACACAAAATTCTGTTTGTCCTGTTATTTTTAACATTTTTTTACCTGATCAAATGAAATCACCACAAGTTTATCTGTCATTCCCACTATTAAACAAATACAGCTGAAATTAAATGTTTGTCTTCTTGTTGAACTTTGTTGGATAATTTTTAACGTGTTGCTGCTTTAATTTTGACCACTATTATTATTTTAAAATCTCTCTCTTGTGCAATATTGTCCTTTAATGTGTTACCATATTTGTGGACTTCACCTACCTGTCAGTCCCTCCAGGATTTTGCAGGTTTTTGGTGATTGTTGGAGCCTAAAATGTCAAATTTCACTGCAGCTTTTCTAAAAAAAAAAAGTATTTTTTGACAATTTTAGGCTTTTTTTGTTGATATTTTGAATAAAACTTTCACATTTAAACATGAATTTGTGACTTCTGTCACACAAACAAGCCTCTATTACTTCAATTCATATAAACGGGAATAACAAAAGTTGCAGTTCCTCTAACGGCCACTAGAGGCTGGCTCCAGCAGTGAGTCTCCATATTAAAAAGCCAAACTTTAAAGCAGAAATTAGATTGAAAAAATGTGTGAATATAAGGGCTGAAAGTCTATACTTTAACTTACCACTTCTACAACCTTTAAATTCATAATCTGTTACTGAGGACAATTTGATTTCTATCTAAAACTGCATTTTGTAGCCAATCAGCAGGGACTGTTTCGGTGTCTGTTGGTCCAATTGCTCCTTAAAACAGCTGTTTTTTGAATGGAGTTTGGTTTGACAGTGTGGAGCAGAGGGTATTTTAACCTTAATAACTCTTTAATAAGTATACAAGTCTAATAATGAACTTTGTGAACAGCAGAAAGTAGTAAAAGGTCGATTAATAAACACAATTAGTCACTCTCCTATTTCTTTATTTTTTTCTATATGGCTGGTTGTATGATTTTGGCTCCTAATAGCTGAAAAGCAATATGGTATTCTTCATTTTATGGTATTAAATTGGCAAATTGGGCTCTGTGTTCAGTTCTTGCTCTCCAGATAGATGAGGTGTTTAAAATAAGACTGGAGATCAATCAAGCTGAGTTCAGCAGGTGGCTCTTCCTGCTGCTTCAGGCCTCCAGAGATCAGACTTCATTAAACCCTGTTTAACAGCTCTGCACCGGGAGGAAGGAAACCTGAGGGATTTTAGTTTTTTACTCCGTCTGCACCTGCTGCTGAAGCAGAGGAGGAGATAATCGCACCTTAAAATACTTAAAATAAGCAAGAAAAGCCTGATTAAATCTGTGTATTCCCACTGTTAAAGTTTATAACTGATCATTAAAGGATGGAAAAAGGCTCAGTTTTGGGCTGTTCTCCCTCCCGGCTCCTCTTCAACAATCAAAGCGGTCAAACAAATAACTGGAGCTGCAGTTTAACGAGCTTTCGCAGATCCTTTCTGTCTCGTGCAGCTCCCGGCAGGTGTGAGTCGGTATCGAAAGGGTGATTTAAAGGAGGCAGCAGGTCAGCGAAGGTCCAATAGATCCGACGGTGATGAGCTGAGGAGCTCAAGGAGACTCTTTGAAATGCAAATGTCCCACCCACCCATTCAGCTCTGACACACTTTACTAAAAAGTTGAAGATTGATTGTTGAATGTCGTGATATTATTGAATTATTGTTAGTTAGTTGATGCTGGCGTACATCAAATTTTGTTTCACAGGAAGCAAAAAAATGATTGAATTTTTATATAAAAATACAAATAAATGGAGTTTCTGTTATTATTGACACACATTGTTGAATACAGGTACAATATAACTGAGGATGAGATCTTAAAGGGTTAAAATGACATTTTTCATTCCACTTGGACTTTAAAACTGACTAAAAATAAAGAATAACAGTAAAAAAAAAAAGAATATAAAGTGATAATAATGTAATCTGTGATTATAACCAGAGAACCTGAGTGTGTGTGTCCCCCCCCCCTCCTCGATCACCTTAAATCAGACGTGGCCTTCATTCATTGTCGCTCTTATCTCCTGTGAATTTCCTGCCTGGTTACTGACAAAGGCAGCCAGATACACTCACACTTCATTATGGAGAGCAGTGACATCAGCAGGTTGGTGGGTTACCAGGATACCTGGAGAGAGGGGGGGGGGGAGAGAGAGAGAGAGAGAGAGAGGGGAGGCCTCAGCCGTCCAATTAAACACCAGGCTCCAGATCAGATCACATCCCAGATAATTGTTTTCTGCTGCTGCTTCAGTCGTCTGCTGACACGCTGAGAAACAGCCGGAGAAACTACGACCAGATTCACACACACACTCACACACTCACACACACACACACACACATATATATATAAACGGTGAGTGCTTTAAAACAACTGGTGCTGGGAAATAGTGACGATTTTTTTAACCTGTTTGTGAGTTTTATTGACGTGAATTTGTGATTTAATTACTAATCAAATGGTGCTTTTTACTTCATGTGACAACATATTGTTTTTGTTTATCTTAGAGCAACATTTGTTTGTTTTTATATCTGATCCGGTGGTCTTTAAATCAGACTGGAGGTGGATTTAAATGTGTTTTTATGATACTATTCTCTCACTCTGGACGCTTTCTGAACCCTAAAACTGCTCAAATATGAATTCATTGAATTAATAAGTAAAAAAAAACAAACAAACATTTGTTTATTTGCTGCTTTTTGACTTCCTGGATGTAAGAAACTCTTGGCTCCAGTGGAAGAAGTATTCAGATCAGTTATTTAAGTTAAGTTAAGAACAAAATGTACTTAAAGTATGTTGTAATAGTGCATCATCTGAGGGGTTGTGAGACGATCAGCTGGAGAGGAAAGAAGAAAAACTGTTTATTTTATCAAACTTTTCTCTTAACTCTGTGAAATACTGGAGAGTTTCAGCGGTTTGGGCCTCGAACAGCCATTCAAATGTAAATATTTGAGGATTTTTATAAACTTAGAGCAATCAAGCGAGAGATAAATGCAACTCACGTCTGCATTTTATGTTTATATGGTATATTTTTATTACGTTTGTGTGTGTATATACATTTATACACTGTTTTTATTATATTTTGCATTGTTTCTTCCTTTGTTGTTATTCCCTCTTGTTGTTATATATTGCTTTGTGACTTATGTCTGTGAAAAGCAATATATAAAAACCTTACTATTGAAAGTTTCAGCAAATAACACAATAAACAATATTTTTTTTACAGATGAGGGACACAATATTGGAGAATATACTTTAATAAAGACAACACTTTTGTCTTTTAATTAATTATTTAAGAATAGCAGGAATAATAGAGAGAATTAAGTTATTTTTATTTATTTATTGTGCGTTTATGTCCTGTCAACCTGCTGTTCCTCCACCGGTCCACCAGCAGGTGGCGGTAATGCGCCTACAAGCTGGTTTAACAACCGCCATTGAAAAAAGAGAAGAAGAAGAAGTAGTGAGCGGTCGGGCTCGCGCTCACGGTTGTAGTGCGGCTGCGCTGGCGACGCTGTTTGTTAGCCAGCCAGCTAATCAGCTAGCTACTCACCGGAGCTCCGTAGTTTGCCGCGCTTCGTCCGCCGGTGTCCGCCGGTGTCCGCCGGTGTCGTGTCGCGGGCTGACTCGCACAAGATGCCGGTGGTTTGATGCTTAATGTGCCGCTGCAGCAGCCGCGGAGGAGCGGCGGCAGACGGCGGGTTAGAGAGCGATGCTAACTTAGCGGCTAACGGTTAGCGGCTAACGGTTAGCTCATTCAGCGTTTCGCCCGTTAACAATGACTCTGCGTCGGCTAGCGGCTAGCGGCTAACGGCTAACGGCTAGCTCGGGTGATGATCCAGGCCGCCGCCGAGGCGATGTGTGTCCGATGGAGGTGAAGCGTTGCTCGGCTTGCCGACCATGACGGACCGCCTCAACCCGGTTTTTGTGCCTCTTGCAGCGGGAGGCGGATCATGGAAGCCGACGAGGACTGGAGCCAAAACCTGAGTGCGCACAAACTGCTGGACCGAAAGCAGAATGGAAGGATTGGTATTTATATTTATATTTATATATTTATATATTTATATTTATGTTTATATTTATATTTATATATAAGTTTATATTTATATTTATATTTAAATTTATATTTAAGTTTATATTTACATTTAAGTTTATATATAAGTTTATATTTAAATTTAAGTTTATATTTATATTTAAATTTATATTTAAATTTAAGTTTATATTTATATTTATGTTTATATTTAAGTTTATATTTATGTTTATATTTAAGTTTATATTTATATTTAAGTTTATATTTAAATTTAAGTTTATATTTATATTTAAGTTTCTATTTCTATTTAAGTTTATATTTAAGTTTATATTTATATTTAAGTTTATATTTATATTTATATTTAAGTTTATATTTATATTTATGTTTATATTTATGTTTATATTTATATTTAAGTTTATATTTATATTTAAGTTTATATTTATATATTTATGTTTAAGTTTACTGAAGGTGACCTCTCCTCCACAGGTACAGTGAGAACCCTCCACAGTCTGTTGAAACCACAGGACACACTCCAGATTCATTCACAATGTGCTGGTAGGTTCAATAACATTCATTAGTATTTAATTTAACCTACAGTTGGTCCAGAAGCATCTGCTGTATAGGGAGGTTTCCTTTAAACGGGATAAAATAAATACACCAGTGTAGTTTTAAAGGAGATAGATATACAGTGTAGATATATTAATATTAATAATAATGTGCATGTAAAGGAAATATATGTAAAACTGTGCAAAAAGTGAATCAGAAAGACTGTTTCTGTTGCTCAAGGTGCTCACACAACATTAATTAAATAATAATGATATAAACTGGTAAAACTTATGTATTATATTACAATATCTAAACACACACAGGTATATACATATTAAATAAACTAGAAAAATAAGCATTATAATCCAATAAATGACAATAAATAGAGATATAAGTGTATGTATGCTGCGGTATATGACAGACAAGCTATAATAAACTATAATAAACTGTAATAGTGATAGATAACGACGTGTTGCACATTAATTATAAGCTGCAGCATTATGTTGTGTTTATGAGCTGCAGCATTATGTTGTGTTTATAAGTTGCAGCATTATGTTGTGTTTATAAGTTGCAGCATTATGTTGTGTTTATAAGTTGCAGCATTATGTTGTGTTTATAAGCTGCAGCATTATGTTGTGTTTATGAGCTGCAGCATTATGTTGTGTTTATAAGCTGCAGCATTATGTTGTGTTTATAAGTTGCAGCATTATGTTGTGTTTATAAGTTGCAGCATTATGTTGTGTTTATAAGTTGCAGCATTATGTTGTGTTTATAAGCTGCAGCATTATGTTGTGTTTATAAGCTGCAGCATTATGTTGTGTTTATAAGCTGCAGCAGTGACGGTGCAGCGGTCTGTATCTGAAGGAGCCGCTCAGGGACCCCACAGACTCACACAGGGTGTTAGAGGTGTTGTGTGATTGACGTCAGCTCGGTTAAACGTCGTCCTCTCACCCACCACCTCCTCTGTGGAGACTATAGAGGGCAGGCCAGGACAGGATGAGCCCCCCGCCCCCCAGTGAACCAGCCTTGTTCTGTCACTTCTCTGTGCTGTAACGATAGAGGTTTTATATCCTGATACCGATGAGATAACAGATGATTTCATATTTTTGTATTTTAAAAAGGACTTTAAAGTGTAGAGCTTGAATACGAATCTAAACCTTTAAAATAAAACAATTTCACTCAGTTTTCCTCACAGAAATAAATGCAAAGTCAAATTATCATCCTGCTCCGGAGGTTATATAAATATAAATAATAATTTACTACTAAAACGTACGGAAGAACATTATTAATTCCTTATCATGTGAAAACAGTGCATTAAAAGAAAGAACAAGTTTGTTTGTAGTTAAAAAAGAGAGGGGTTAAAATGGAGCACGCAAACATTTCCTCCACAGCATCTCGCTCGCATGGCAACAATGAGTTGATTGTGATCTAATAACTAATAAATCAAATAATTGCACAAATTGAGAAAGAAGAAGGAAATATTAAAAGTTAAACAGGTTGCTGTTGATCTGAGACACGTCCTCCCCGTGTGACCCAGGCTCCTGTCCCAATCTGATGATGAGTAGGAGCGAGCACGCCGATGCGAGGCCCGTCCCCGTGGCCCTCACCCCCCAGCTGCCCCCCAGAGCTCACCGGCCCCTCTGCATGTCGGTCTCCTCCGACAGCAGCGGACGCTTCAGAGCTCTGGAGACGCAGGAGTGGAAGAACAACCTCAAAGCTCAGGTACGTAACAGCTCGCTGCTTCAATTAAAGTTCAACGACGGATAGAAAAGGTTTTAAATTCTGGTACATTCAGTCTTTTATTGTTCGGAAGAGGAAGAAGAGGAGTTAGGTTAGTTTAAAGGTTTGTTTCCACAAAGCGTTTTGTTCTGAGCACCAGTGTCTTCTTTTTATATTGTTCCCAATGAAGTTTTCCAGTTATAGAAACACCTGGAAATTGATTAAAATTACCAAATATCCTGGAATTATGTTCTGGAAAATGTTAGTTAGTACTTTAGTCCTTCACTATAATCTAGATTTAGTTTGAAACTCGACTGTTGGTAGAACCATATGTGGAACGTATTTGGTTATCCTCATGGAAGCCCAATGGAAAAATATCTTAAATTAATAAATACCAGCATGAGATAAGATGCACGTAAACAAACACTTTCTACTTCTTTTAATAAACAAACCTCTGCACTTCTGGAGTCATTAAAACTCAACCTCGGGGCCGGTTCAGGATGAGCAACGCAGCAGTTTTTGACCACATGTCAGATGAGTTTGTGTGTTTGTTGCAGATGGAGCAGGCCCACAGCGCGGGAGCAGCCAGCAGCACCGGCTCTCTGGAGCGAGCATCTCTCTTCTGCGCCTCCGCTTCCACCACGGCGTCCAGCTCCGGTCTGTCGAGCCCGGTGGAGATCCTCAACAAGAGCAAATCCTCCAGCCGCTTCTCTCTCTTCTCTCCGCCCTGGAACAGCAGCTCCGAGTCCGACTCCAACCCTCCGTCACGCTCGGGCTCCAAGAAGCTGCGCAACTACAGCAGGAGAGCCGCCACGGGGCCGGCCGGCGCCAGGGGCCCTGACACGCCTGAGCCCAAACCCAGCGGCCCCGAACACTTCCAGTACTCCGAACCCGTCATCTCCAAGGTGACGGACTACATCTACGTCGGCAACCTGAACGCGGCATACAATGGGCGCACCTTGTGCCGCAACAACATCGACAGCATCATCGACATGAGCAGCGTGCCGGGAGAGCCGGGCCCGAGCCTCAACCTCATACCGTGCACCTGCTCCCGCGGCGCCCGCCACAGCTGGTCCCGCCTCAAGGTGGACATCGGAGACGTGCCGGACGCTCTGGGCGACGGCCCCGCCCTGAAGCAGCGCTGCTTCGAGGACATCAACGAGTGCATCGACGCCTCCACGGGGAAGAGGAAGCGCGTCCTGGTGCACTGTCGAGACGGGTTCTCTCTGGCGCCGACGTGCATCATCCAGTACCTGATGGTGAAACAGAACATGAGGCTGATAGCCGCCTACGAGCTCCTGAGGGCCAAGTACCCGGTCAACATCAGGGAGTGCCACCAAAACGTGCTGGTGAGCCTGGAGAGGGCGCTGCGGCCCGGAGGCAACGTCGACCCCGAGTGCTTCAAACAGGCCATCTCTCGCAAAGTGGCGTGGACCTGACTCCGTTTCCCAACAGGCTCTGCTGCTGCTCGCGGCGCCCGTTGCTCCTCCCGCCCTCCCGTGGTGTTAGATATTCCCCTAAAGACAACCGAGGGCAGCTGAACTTTCCCCCCGTAGACTCGTCACCTGGATATTATCGTCCCCACTTTGAGTTCAGTGGTTGTAAAAGTTATGAATTTGATGTATTACCTCTTCAAAACCTGTAAATGTGACCCGCCCTCCCCTCACCGAACAGGAGACGCAATAGACTTCACTGTAATGTACACAGCTTCTTGGTATAACAGTGTAATCGTGTTGGCTGTATAGTTGATATAGTCCTGCTTCAGTTCTGTGCCATGCCGTTGTGGTGGTGTTTTTATATCAGGGGAATTTCTAAACGGGAGATCTCAGGAGATTATTGATGTCACTCCAGTACAGGGTGGGAAAATACTCATTGGATTAATCTGTGCCCCTCCCCGGTTCACACCTGGCTGAAATGCATCTTGGTAAAGCTTTGTGTATAACACATAGGGTCGGGCAGGTTTCTCACCTGGAAAACCTGGAAATTTACAGACCAGTTTTCCAGTAAACTCCTTGAAATTGTTTAAAATTACAATCCTGGAAATAATCCACATTTGTAGCTATTCACTCAGATCGCCTACGTAAACCAGGGTGCTGTCCTGGATTGTCTAGAAAACCACCTGTAAAATGATCTCTTAAAGAATGTGTGATACCACATAGAGACGTTATCTTCTAATTGCTGACGCAGATGTGTAATGTGAAGGCACATGACAGCACAATATGCATAAATCCTGTATTTTCTACACATCTAAATCTCTCGTTTTCCCTGTTATTAATAAAATGTCACTTTAAAGGGGGGGTTGTCAGTTTACTAAATGATAGAAAAAGGTTGGGAACCACTGGACTGTTGACAGTTATTCCAAATTCAAAAACCTCTCTTCAAGCTTTGTTATCATCATTAAACCCTCGACACACACCAAACACACCACTCTAATATTGTAGATATAAGTAGGTTTTTGCATTACAAATTAAATTTTCACTCAAGAAACAATTAAAATCACGATGATGTTAATTTTGGGGGGTTTTGTCGCACATTTTGAACTTCATAATAAGGTATAATTCTCTTGGGGAGCTCCCCAAAACTGTACCAAACCAAACATCCTGGACCGAACGGCTTGGGAACGACTAACTGGTGAATGTCCTGAAGCATTTAGCCGCTTATGAGACCCTGAGGAGTTGGTAGAGACCAAAAGCGGAGCTAAAAGAGTGCAAATATCCAAGTAAAAATTTCTGGCATTAATGCTAATGTTGCTCGAAAACTACAGGATTTATAAATGTGCCAACAACAAGTCTGTGACACTTGTTTCTGTTGCCCCCAAAGTGGCTAAAAAAACAACAGTTACTGCCGGTTTACGGAGGCATAATTAAGGGAACACTAATAATACAACCACCAACAGAGTGGAGACGCCCTCTAGTGGTGAAAACCTCCACAGAGCACCTTTAAAGTTACTGAAAGTCACTGGAGATGCATTTCAGTTCCCCGACAGGTGTGAACAATCTTTATAGATATTAACACAATCTGACCTTTTTTGTTTCTCTTCCTATGAATCTGTTTTGCCGGTATGATGATCGTGTGGATGTAAAAAAAAAACAAGAAAAACAGGAGCTGCTGATACTCCGAAGTTTGGAGGACGTTTGTGTGATTTGTAATCGGATCTATCGCCACTGACTTTGATTAATCCGCTATCGCAAGAGGGGAACTTTGCATACGGACTCGTTTTAAACCTGCTTCCTGGTGACCTTTCTCTCTCTCTCTCTCTCGCTGTTTTTCTTTATTTTTGTGTGTTTTCTGAGATCGTACTTGATGGAAGACGAACGGTCCAACGTGTCCTCTGTGAGGAAAAAGACTGCAAGCCCACATTTTTCAAGCCACAGTTAATTTGGGTTTTAAAATCTCTCCGGTGGTGCTCAGACTGTGGCTCTTTGTGAACTTTTTGAACTTCGGCGTATGCGGTGAATCTCTGTGGATTATCAGTATTAGTGCATCGGTGCCACTGAACTGCCTTCCAAGGCTTTCGCAGTGCGAGAGAGGATTTTGCACTACTCACAGGGGTCGTTCCAAAATGCAAAGTATTGACTGTTTTGTTTATTTTAATATTGTTTGAATTGTTGTTGTTTTGGGGTCATTATTGGGGGTTTACGAGGGAGTCTGACGGTTGTTTACGAGCTCATTAGAATAACCAGATTATGGTAATCGGGTCAGTTAAAGTGGCTCTCGCTATATTAGGGCTGTCACTCTTTACCAAAAATAAAGTTATTTGGAATAACACACAGTTACAAAATCAAGTCCAAACACATTAAAACTGTGGAAAAACATAAACATTATATATTAAAGAGTCAGTGGACTTTATGCCTGAACGACTTTTGTTTTCAAATTTTTTTCTTTTTTTTGGTCTATTTTGAAAATACAAACAACTGGTTTTCTTTTCTTTTTAAAAAAATAAACAAATATTTCTGTTTGGTTTTTTTTGTTGTTTTACAAATAAAAATGGAAAAGAAATTTACCTGTTTTACAATTTCTTTTATTTTGAAAATAAATACGATTTTTTTTTTTGTTTTTTTTGTTTTGAAAATAAAAACCGGTGAAAAACAAACCCATTTAACTTTTTTTAAATTAAAAAATATATATATTTTGGGTTTATTCTGGTTTCCCAAATTTGGTTTTCTCATTTCAAAATAAAAACCCTTTGACCATAAAGTCCACTGACCTTGAAGGATCAGCTCCTACCAGCTGACCGAACGTCCTTATATATAAATATATAAATCTTTCTATGTTATCGGCGACGATCCAGGTGCGGTTGTACGGTTGGCGTTACTCTGCTGCTGCCAAAAGCTAACGGCGGCGTACGAGCAGTTTACTGACCTTGGAGCTTAAGGAGTTCAAACACAACAAATTTTTAATTTTCAAATTAAAAGATGACAGCCCTACACACTGTTTGATAACCTGAGTTTACTTTATTTGTTTGGTTGTTGTTTACGGCCGCCTTCCAAAAGAAGACAACTTCTACTCAACGTGACCTTTTTATTAATATTTTACTCCTTTTTCAACAACTATTGTTTGATCACACGTAATCTGTAACACAACTTTTCTAAAAGAAATATGAAAGAAACTATTTAAATCAGTAATTGTTGAATTAAAGAAAATCAATCTGAGCACCGTCAAATAAAGCAGCAATTTATAATAATTGAATCTAGATTATTTTTTGATGAATTGATTGTTTGGTCTATAAAATTTCGCCCGAAACATTAAAATCTCACATTGGAAGAAGTTTGAAATTTCTGCTTTAATAAGCAACTTAAAATATTAATTAAAATTAAACTTTTGATACCGACTAATTGATTAAATCTAAATGCTTCAACATTGGTTACAGGTGTACGTCGTACATACCCGAGAGTTGAGGCAGAGAAGTCGTAAGACACCACATGGAAGAAACGTGTCCGTGAGACCCTGAACTAACCACACAAAGTGCTAACGGACTACTTTTTTCATGTGTTTGCTGAATTATTTGACACTTTGTCCTCGATTAATATCAAAATCTGACATTGTTACGATATATGACAGAAAAACTTCAAAAAAACCAACCCGTTTAACGTTTTTATTATTTTTATTAAATAACAGGAAAAAGCATAATAAGTCTCCTTTAAGGGGAAATATAGGAGAGTTTGATTTTATGCATCAGATATGCAGAATTTGCATTTGGGGTAATAATTATAAATTAAATTATAATGTGTCCAACTTCATTTTGTTTAGATTAATAACAGATCACATCGTTTTATTTTCGAAACAATCCGACGTACAGGACGGTTTTTAAAGTTAAAGTCGTCACGGCGCCGTCAGACAAGAAAGCGAAGAAGTACGGTGCCTTCGTTAAGAAGTCGTCTTGTGACCGTACGGTGACATTTGCACACTTTGTATGACTTTTAACTGATTTATCTGATTGATATGTTGTAAAATGTTCAATATTTTTGTTGATGTTTTTATTTTTTTGCAATGAAGATGAGATTTGTGTAAAGTGGTCGTTGCTGTAATATATTTGCTGGTCATTATTGTACAGTACCGGTGTTTTTTATTAGTTTCTCAACATATACGAGGAGGCGCCACAGTGGAAGAAAGCACATTTTGGTTTCTCCCTTTGTTGTTAAAGTCATATCAAACTGAATCGGTTTTTCTAACTCGTTCTCTCAGGTGATTTCTCAGTGGCCCAGAATGTTCTCGATGAATATGAATATTCAGAAATGTGAAGCGATGTGTTTCTCATGTCATGTTTCTCAAGTCGGATATAATTTGTACTGTTGAAATATTAAAGAAAAAGGGATGTACGTAAAGAGTTGTTTCTGTTGTTGACAACAAGCTGTAAAAAAAAAAAAAAGTGCTGGACACGCAAGGTGGCCTCGAAATGAGTAAAAACCATTAAACTCACTCGGAGTTAAGCTCTTTTTAAAGGAGTTTTTAGTGTTTTAGAGCAACTTTTATCTGTGGAATTTCACTGTTTTATCATTAACATGCTTTAAAAAAACCTGCAGTTCCTCTAACGGCCACTAGAGGCTGGCTCCATAAGGCCCCATATTAAAATGTCCAACTTTACAGCAGAAATAAACATGTTTACAGTCTGGTACAAAAACTGGTTTTGGTCCCTATAACTGATTTCCAAGTTTATGACAACTCACCTGTTTAAATTATAGTAAGGTTTAAAGTTCCTTATGAAGCAGAGAGATGTTTGCTTTCACATATTTACCTGTTTCCTTCAAAAAACAGGCAGTTATTGAACGACTTACAGTAACCAATAGTGCTGAATGTGGATTTTCCCTCAGTTTGATCTCACGTTCTGGTCCTGGAGTTCTGCTTTGAGTCTGTCATCACTATTATTTGCCGTCCACTTCATTAGGTGACGTCTATTCTTTCTATTTTGGTCGCAGCTTCTCAGCACATCTCTGGGACAAGACCTTATGGATTTAATCCTGAGCAGGGATGTGAAAACAATCTGTATTACAATTATAATTCAGTCACAGGTGCTTAAACTTAATGATCAGAGTCAGTTTTATTGAATGAGGGGAACAAATACTGCAAGTCAAGAAGCAATAAAAGAAAAAAATTAACAATAACATGAAACAAAAATAGACTAAATGTACTATATGGCTGTTATTTTAAATTAAAGAGTATAAAGTAGAAACTTATTGTTTAACTTATTCTTGAAACTGATTACATTGAACATTTCAAGTAAAACAAAGTTGGTGTCAGTTAAAATAACTAGTAAAAGCTGCTTAATCAAGAATCTTTTTAATTTACAAAGTTAAGTTTGTGTTACTTAAAATGTTTAATTGTAATCCGTTTCAAAGTTGTTTTTTTTAGTTAAAATAACATTTCGCACTACAGATTTAGTTAATTTAACTTAAAAATATTGTTGAAACTGATCACATTGAAAATTTAAGTAACACCAACTTAATTTTATAAGTTAAAACAACATTCTTGATAAAGCAGATTTAGTCATTTTAAGTGACACTGACTTAATTTGTATTGTGAAAACAAAATACCTAATAAAAACTATTTAATCAGGAATGTTTTACAAAATTGAGTTTAGTTTAGTTACCCTACTTAATATTTTCGATCTGTTTCAACACATTTTTTTTAAGTTAAAATAACTTATCGCATTAGAGTGTCTAACATTACTCCAAATTAAAATGCAGATTAAAATTACCTTTTATAAATACAGCTTGACACTTTAATATCTATATTTTCTATATATTAGCGAGTTAAAACAGTTTAGGGGCATAGAAACAGAACTATCACCAGGACCTTTACGGGGTTTTTCTCTCACGTTCCTCCTCTGGCTGATCTCCTGTTAACAGTTTCTTAATAACAACCACTTAGCGTTTCTTAAATAACAACTTGAGTCTTGAACCTCTGCTGGGAGTTTTTTTCTGCCCTCCCACCTGCTGTCCCTTCAACTTTCATCACCGCTGCTCCCCGGTTTCCTTCATCAAGCCTGGCGTCTTTCATACACTTCATACATGATAATAATCTGTTCATTGACTCATATGTGGGTGATTCTGACTCTGCTTCTCCTGCTTTTTACCGCCAAACTCACGAGCAGCTTCCTTTTTGGGGGTTCAGGGGGTCCCGAAAAGAGGAGGAGGAGGGGGGGCGAATAATGCAATCAGTGAAACAAATCCAGAAGGAAAGGGTTATTTATAATTATCAGATAGGGAGGAGATTTGAGGGGTAAAAGGGGGGTCAGATATAATGTTTCATGTGCCGGGTATCCCCATTGGTCTGTGAGAAAATCGACTTCCATAAAGAGAAAGATGGGGTTTCCTTTGCGTTCGGGGAATGCAATATATACCAACTTATAATGCCAAAACTGAGCTGCTTACCAAAATCTTGCCACTCCGTCCGGTTTCCCGTCTTCGACTACAAGGTGAGAAATCTTTTCCTCTCTGTTGACTCACATACAAAGCTTTATGCAGTTCACTAAATAAGAGTTTTTGAGCTGCGGGATGGTGAAGGCGATGATGTCGGTTGAGGAGTTTTTGGATGTTAATGTGGTTTGTTTTGGGGGGTGAAGCTGTGATGGGGTGTGTGAATGTAAAGTGATAGTCCCGGTGTTTATCGCTGTGTCAGCACAGACTGAATAGATTTAATATGTCAGTCTGATCTGGTGGTTTATTGGCTTCATGTTTGATTCAGTTAAAGAGTCCAAGAACATATAAAAGGTACAAATTATTGACATAGTTTGCAGTATGTTCTAATTCAGTTACACATACATGGTTTATAATGTAAATTTAGTTAGGATCTACATGTGGTTTCAAGAATAAATTTATATTTTCTTACATTATTTGGATCCTCCACCAACATTTTAATCCAATAAAACATCTCTTTAATCCGTTCTGTATTTGATTGAAAACTTAATTTGACTTTTCAGAAATCATTATCAGAATAAGAAAATACTTTATTGATCCCCTGGGGGAAAATTGGTTGTGTTACAGTTGCTCAAGTGGCTAAAGAAGACGTTATAAGAATAGAAATAATGCTAAGAACGTTAAAATATGTGCATCGTATTACAATATATAGCAACAATAAATATTAAAAATATAAGTGTAAAACTATGTACATTATATTTGCTGTGTGCTACAATTTCGAAGAATTTGGCAATAAACCCCAACAGGAGATTTCACATGTTAAAAAGTCACCTTTTTAACATTGGAATAAAAAAATGTCTTTATGCTGATGATACTCTACTTTAAATTGATGGTTTAAATTAGGTGTTTATGTCTTAGCAGCAAAACCTAAATATATACTGGTGAATAAAGAATGAGTAAAGTAAATATTAAAATAATTTTTAATATTTTTAATATTTTATTAATACATTTTAACTGGTTATTAAATAGTTTTCAATATAACACTGATCTCACCATCAGCGAAAAGATTGGGTCAGATTATCCTTGAAATCAACAAATCGAGGTGGTGGAAACACTACAGCTTTTGTCTACAGGGGGCGCCAGAATCAACATGAAATGAAAGCTCCTTGTTGCTGCTTTAAAGTTATTATGTATAATACAAGTTTGGCAGTTAAAACTGTTTGTTTAAGAATAACTGAAAAGGTCCTTTGGTAAAACTGGATCTGATTGACATCCCTGCCAACAGTAATTAGTTACATTACTACTTATATTACATTTCTGCTACTCCACACACAATTGGTAATTTCTCTCCAAAATTCAGATTTCTGCTAAATGTTTCCAACAACCAAACTAGTTTCCTCCACAATTACAAAAATGAATCCAAGGATGTGATTGGAGACACCAAAAGCAATATTGTAGTTAATTATTTTTTGGGGGGTAACTGTAATATGATTACTGACATTTATTGGTAATAAGTTACATTACTAGTTACTGGGAAAGTTATAATATTATTAACATCTTATTGTCTGGTAAGTTCAACCACTGTGGTTAGGAGCTGATTCTTCAGTGTCCGTTACATAAATCCATTTCTGGTCAGTTTTTTGTTCTTTATTCTATTAATGATCTAGATTTGGAGAAATTATTCCCAACTCTACGTCCCATTGGAGAAACCATTGTTCTGACGTCTTCTTATACATTTTAATCAAACATTGGAGGAGGCTTTCGTCCTCTGTTCTCCGTTTGGACACAGCGTTTGTTGATCTGGATTGTTCTGCAAGGTCTCTATTTTCAGAGGAGATGGATATCGTCTCAGTCACGTCAGAGATGTTTTTACCAACAGAGAAGGTATCAAGTGTTTCCTGATAATCTTCCAGAAGACAGACCTTTCATGAGAGGGATGCCCAGGGGGGGGACAACTAGACCACTAGATCCTTGTCCGAATTTAGACTGGAGGTTTTTTCCTCAAGGCAAACCTCTGATGCTCCCAGTTGGTGTCACGTTTCCTCTAAGTAGAGTTATTATTTCGGAAAGACCCGGCAGAGGCATTCCAGTCCTGATCCTCCTCACCCCGCCTTAACATTGTTTCCTGTTCGTTGTGCATCCCACACATAATGGCTTGTTGTTGTTTTTTCTGATTAATAGCCACTTGACAACCATTATCCGTGTGTCTTAGTGCTAATCCTTTGATTATTTCAATTTTTTTTTTTTTTTTCTGCAGGTTTAAAGCCAAACAAAACGCCAAGATGTCAGAGTAAGTAATACTCAATCATCTGTATGTTCATTTTATTTTGGAAGTTAAACTTCAGAATGTCAAATGTTTTCAACTTTAAGAACTTTAGGGCTAAAGAGATATGAGTCGACTAGTCACTACACATTAATGATATCCATTTAATGATTTAAATATCTATATTTGAACAGCAGCCTGTTAAACAGAAATAGCAGAAATGATTGTGAATCAGAACAAGCAGCAAGGAGACTGAACCTTTAGTTCATTTATACCAACACAGTGTAACATCACACAGTCTGGTTGTTCAACACACGGAATAAATAACTTCAAACTTCACTGAAACAAATCCTGGCAGACTGATCGATATGATAATTGATGGATAATGTTAACAGTTTCTGATTAATTAACTGGTTTTGTTCCTCTCCTGGGGGTTAGGGTTAGAAAAGTGCGCCAACTACGACTCTTTTCGTAGTTAAGTCGACTATTAGGGGGGAAGCCCTAAACTTTTGTATATTATCTAATCAGAAGTATCGTATATTTTATGTAAAACAGGACTCTTCATATGTAGAAGTGTTACAGAAACAAGATTTCTGCAAATCTAATAACTGAAAAAAATAAATCTTTCATTTGGTTTAGTATTGAAGCCAAGTGTTAATGTCAGAAGAACTGCTAGAGGTTTCTTTTTAATGTTTCCAATAAACAT